ATTGCTCTCCCCCACCTGTATGGGCAGAGGCAGCAGGGATCCAAGGAGAAAAGACAGCTGAAGCTGCAGAGTACAGAGCCAGGACATCCAGGATGGCAGAAAGGTGAGGAGAGCAGAGCCGTCGGCTGTCAGATTCAGGATTCCCTGCGGCTCTGTGATCTGTGCATGGCTGAGCAGGTCAGGATAGAGAGTGGAGGATTGGTAAATATCTGTAATATTTACCGATCCTCTGTGTGCAGAACACAAACACTGGCGTAATCGCTGTAAACAACTGGGGACACATAGTACTATGCGTCCCCAGTTATGAATGAACAGGAAGTGCTTTACATCACTGTTCATTCATGAGTTTCTGAATCGGTAGAAACAGCTCAGTACAAATGTTTCTACTCATTCATAACTGGTTGATAGTAAATATTTACTATCTCCAGTTGGTGAATGAATGTGAAGCCTCTGTACTGAGTGCTCTCCATTCCTTTATTGTTGAGGCTGCAGAAAAAAGGATTAAGGACTCTGTCCTCAATTTCTTCTATTTCAAAAGGAAAATGTGAGGGGTCTGTTCAGACCCCTGATATTTTAGCAAAGTCTCCCCAAAAGTAAAAAAGAAAAATAAACCCTCCCATACACAGACACACACACATTATACACATGCAACAGTGTGCACCATACTGTGGTGTACGGCATGCGCTGCAGTGCGTTGTTGGAAGGAATTGCAGTGCTCGATTAAAAAAAAATAAATAACATTACCTTAACTGTGGAAGCGCATGGCAAAACGTGATGCATTGCCGTGCGTTGTGCTACGCTGTGTTGCAATTAAATGTACGCATGCATCATTTTATCACAACACAAACACCAGCACAGCGCACAAACGATTTTTTACATAAGTCGCTTATTTACAGTTGTGTTCATTTTTTTACTGTTTCACAAAGAGGCACAATTTAAAATGTATAAATATTGGTTCACACTCAATACAGTTTTATCTTTTAGATTTAGTCGTAAAAGTTTTTTTCTTTTGTGCACTGATACTGATTTTAGTGTGCTTTTATCAATTTAAATATTTGTATCAGTTTAATATTGATTTGAAAAACATTTGAGAAATTAGGATCTACAAAATTAGTAGCACCATCTATTTATTCTACCGGGCCCGTGCTTTCAGAAAATAAATGGTTTGGGGGGGAAAATTGCAAAAACAGCGTGGCCAACTGAGGTTTGAAGTGTTCTGCAGGGCTTGGCAGCAAAAGGGTTAAATAGTTAAGATGACCACACATGAATACATTTTCTGGTAAAGCCTCAAGGTGATAAGATGAAGACTTAATGTGCATTATTTCAGTGTCAGATTTTTTTTTATATAGATTACCCATGATTCATAGTTGGAAATAGAGTAGCAGTGATTAGTAGCACCCCCTTCAATACATTTCCACTTTCTATCTATGAGGAATGCATTTCTAAAGATTTCCTTGTGCAAGTCAATATAAAGTAATGGATGTGTGCTGAAGAAGGTATTATGTACCTGTGTGCGGTAATTTTGTTAACACTGGCTTAAGGTCCCCACACACCTTGCGAAATCCCGCGATCGTACGATTATCGTAAGGTGTGTGGAAGCCGTGCGACCTCTACTAATGTAAGGTCGCACGACTTTTAACTTACGCACATGTTCGAAAACCCGCCGAGCATCGTACGATGTTCGGCGGGTGTGTAGCATGTTTGTAAGATAAAAGCCAGACGGGACGGTGTGCGCAAGCGCACACTGCCGTTCGGCATTGCGGTCATCGGAAGCCCGCCCCTCAGGGGGGGAGGGAGGGGCGGCTTGCGATCATCGCAAGTAGGATCTGCATGTCCAAGATAGGCAGATCGTACGTTTTTTTAAGTACCTTACAACCATCGCAAGACAAAAGTCTTGCGATGGTTGTAAGGTGTGTGCCCAGCATTATAACTGATTATCCTGGAGGTTGATCATGGGACCTTGTTCCTTCCTTCCTTTTTGTTTTTTTTACCTTGTCATTTAAATTACTGATATTAAATTAACGTAAAAAAAAAATGCTAATAAAGTAAATATATCTAGTACAAATCAAATATTCACAAAAAAATAACAATTTAGATTAAAGGAAGAATTGAGGAACATGGCAGGACAAAAGAATAGGTATAAAGCACCATTGCTCAAAAATACTGTGGTTAGAAATTCTACTACTGAAGAATGAACTCTCAACCCCGAGAGAAATCTCTACCCAAAGAATAAGAGACTAATATGACAAGGAAATATAATAGCGATTAACCTGACTCGTACTACATTACCACATCCTAACTTTTAACTTTACAGGGATTTCATTTCAATAAAATACAAGCGCAGTGCATAATTGATTTAAAAAAAAACTGATCCTGGAAGATCTCTGGAATTCATTGGGATTCATATCAAAAACAAAATGTGGTTATTAAGAGGACAGTGTAGTGGTTTTGTACATATTCTCCTTTTTATAGTCGGAACAAAACAATTAGTGGATACTAATCAGGTATACTCATCAAGCCAGCAATTAATCAGTTAATTGATTTTAAATAACATTAAGCCAAAGCTATTCTGGTTTCTATTTGATAGTTATATTAAAGGTCTCATCCATATATTAGCAGAGCCTTCCGCAGCATTCTAATGTAACTGAATCACCAGCGTGTTTGATAAAGGAGATTGAGAGAAAATGTATTTGTGGAAAAGATAAGGGGAGACACAAATCCCTAACTAGAGTTTACATATTATGCGAGTATGTTCTAATCAGAAGTTCTTAGAAATGTTAAATGAACAGCTGATATCATTTCACATAAAGTGCTGTTTTCCAGTGTATCCATCTAGTAGCGATGTTTGAACTTCATTAGACTGTTTAAAGTAATAGACTCATGAAACACTGAGCAGAGGTGTCACTAGTCCATGTTCTCTTTTTTGATATGTTTAAGTTTGGGATGCTACATTTATCCCAAAATCTATAAGTCCCAAAGACTCGCCTCTTATCCATTGATGCAAGGTCCGCGAGAACCCTTACCAGTGCCTTCATCTTCATCTGGTCTTCTTTTGGATTTGGTGTCTTTACCCATCTTCATTGGCTGGCCAGGGTTGATGTTGTTCATCTTGGACAACAAGGCATGCCGAGAATGTAGACTGAGATATACTTTTAGGAGAAGAGGAGCTTGCTGTCGTAAAAGGATCTTTTATGACAGAATACACATACTGTCTCTTCTACAATAAAAGCCCCTCTCCCAACAATATTTTAAATTTGATCTATTGGCTTTAATTCATTTGCTAGTTTATATGAACACCTACACCAATGAAAAGAAACAATCGAGAACAATCCTTAACTGCTTCTTCAAACAGTATATTTGGATATTTTAATAGAATTTTACTTAATTATATCATATGGGTTCAGGAGGTTCTAGGAACTTCTCAGTGTTTTCTGAATTTCTTTTGACAAAATTATATGCCTCATTCCTCACTCACACTTTATTTCATTTGCATACATTAAATGTGTATCAATCAGAAATCCCATGCATTCTTCTTTGGCTAGTTTCCATCTATGCACTGCAGCTTAGAGCATCTTCTAAGAATAAATAATGCAGCATTTTGTGCATTTATGCATGTTAGGCAGGCAGAATTAAATTGGTAATAACGTATGTGTCATGAAATATAAATGTGTAATTCCAGCATCCCTCAGATGCTCAGCTATTTTTGTTATATTAGACTCTAGTGTATACTGTAGTTTTGTAAATTTTACATATATCTGAAAAGCTTTCTGAATGGTTTGTAACTTACAACACACATGAAAAGCATGCACAGAATGCCCGATTGAATCCTGGTAGTTACTGTAATGCAGCATATGCAGTGGTAAATATGGGGCTTTTTTTTTTTTTTACCTATGTGCTACAGTAATGGTTAAAATTAGGGATGCAGCGATACCGAGTATTTGGGTAAGTACTCGTACTCGCCCAAATGGTCCAGGTGCTTATCTCAATACTGGAACTTCCAGTATCGGGAAGCTAGACGGCGAGTCATATCACACTGCCCGGCTTCCTGATTGACCGGGAAGCCGGCTCCATGCTCTCTCGTCATTTATCAGGAAGCCAGGTGGCGAGTCATTAAACACGGCTCGGGTTCTTTAACCCTTTCCCTGCCAAGGACGTATGGCATATGGAGGAACAAAAGTGTTTTCCGGGATGGCCAGGTCCATATGCTGTACGGACCTGTCAACAGTTCTGCTATAAGCTCATGGTCACAAGCCGCTGATGACTGCTATTAGCAAAAATACCGGGCATCTCAATACTACTATGTGTCCCCAGTTATGAATGAACAGGCTGTGATCTACATCACTTCCTGGTCATTCATACATTTATGAATGGGGACTAGCACTCACTAGAGGCTCCTACCCATTTGTAAACTGGTGATAGTAAAATATTTTTACTGTCATCAGTTTCTGAATGAATGGGAGCCTCTGTACTGAGTGCTTCCAATTCATTGAGAGCTGGGGCTGCAGAAAAAGAAATTGAGGACTCTGAATTTCTTTTTCTATTTCAAAAGGGAAATTATTACAAACACTAGCAACCCAGCAGTTGAAGATCAAATCAATGGGAAAAATGGCGTTGCCAGCTGATTTGAAAAATGTTCCGGAGGGCTTGGCAGCCAAAGGGTTAATGGGACTTCCAGTATCGGTATTCATTATTGGCGGGGGAAAAAATAACAGTACTCATACTCAATACCGGAAAAACTGTATCGCTGCATCCCTAGTTAAAGTACCCTGTGCTGCCAACACATAGAGTCCGACACAGCAGTCTTAGACAAAGCAGCATCTTGACTCCCAAGCAACTTGACACTGCTCTAACCAACAGTGCTCTCACTCCCTGAGCAGCACTGTTGATTGGAGCAGTGTTAGTGGGGAGGTGGGCTGTTTCTTTGTGTAAGACAGCTACCGTCAGACTCTTATGTGCTGGCAGCAAACGGTAAAAGTAAATGAGCCCCATATTTATTACTGTATATGCAACCTGGCTGAATTTACATGAATCGTGTTCTCTTGCTTTACTAATTTAGCTAGAACCCTGGGTCTTTGTGTAACCGCATCTCGTGAGATTCCTAATAATGTCTTATGTTTTATCTTTAGGTATTTGAAATGAATATTTCAAAGCAGTTGCAAGACTATGAGGTGGAGTATCACGTGCTCCAAGACGAACTGATAGACTCATCACCGCTCAGTGACAATCAGAGAATAAATAAGTTAGAAAAGGCAAATAATAGCTTACACAAACAAAACTTTGACCTTCTGGAGGAGTTGCAGGTATGTACATACTGAAAGATACAAATGAACAGTTTACAAAGCATATTTGTTCGCTTTCTGCTGAGTCGGTGTTCGTGATATTCTATTTACTCTTCTTTTTTTTTTTTCACATGAATGTTTCTATTAATTCAGAGTTAAGCACTGTCCTTCATAATGCAACATACGAATGAAAAAAAAAGTGGTGTGAAGGCATTATTTGAAAAACATTAGAATAGATTTATGTTTATATTTCCCCTTATTTCCTGTTTTTGTATTTCATTTTAGGATTGAAGTAACAGTGCATCTAATTTAAAATGTTGCATGTATGCTTGTTTATTTTGTCAAACACATTCTTAGAACTGAAAAACGCATCCCATGAAACCGGTTTGTTTTCTTTCTGCTCTGCAGGTATCTAAAGGAAGAATCCAAAGTCTAGAATCCACAATTGACAATCTGCAAAGCAATGAGGTTAAATTAAAGCAATCCCTCCGCACTATGGAACTGGAGAGATCAGCCTTGTTAATAACAATAGAAGAACTGAAAAAACAGATCATGGAGCAACACGAGAACTGTGTTCAAGTAGAACAGAACACCTGAGAACTTTGCTAGTACTTTGCTAGTACTGAATAGGAGTGATCCCAGCAGTGTTTTGGCCATGTTATTCACTGCGCACACACCTTCTTGATCATGCTTGAGTGGAGCATCTCATGTCTCAGGAAAGACTCCTCTCCCTTTGGACTTCCATGTTCATACAATTTTCAACTTTTATTTTCATTCCTACATTGGTTTTTAAGTGGCAACTGCCAGATTACATTTTATTCATCTTCCAAATGATGAGTTGTCTTTAGAAAGAGATTTTAAAGAGAGAGAAAAAAAAATAGTCCATAATGGTTTAGAAAAAAGTAAACTTTGAGGTGTACTTCTGTAATGGAAGCCATATTGTAGGCTGATAAACATATTCAATCTACCAATGCACAACAATCTAGTGATCTCATATAGACAGTCTTGTGTAATAACATCAATGCAAAGAGTAGTGTTGTGCTCTGCAGTATACTAAGAAAACCTGTACTAAGAGTAATATGGTGGCTGCCATTGCTGACCATTTAAGATTGGTAGTTGCCTGGCTGTCTCTGGCTTTAATATTTTAGTCACTGCCCCAGAAAAAGTATGCAACTGAGTGAAGTCAGAACTTCTGATCTGCATACTTATTCTGTATTAGTGACTCGAAAGGTATTGACACGATTGGATCAATGGGACCGCCAGGCAGCTAGCAATTTCAGCAAAGGTCACCAGTGTTAGCCTATTTATTCCCCCCAATCCTGGTTTCCTTTCAGTGCTCAATCAGCCAAATAACAAAGAGTAACTGACTGCAGTAAACAAGTGAACACAGTCTCTCTTTCCATCATTGTTAAAGCTTCTATAATGTCACAAAGTACTGTGACCTGATAAGCCGCTGTCACAGTAAGGCTTCCTTCCCTTATGCACCTCATTTATCAAAGTGTTTGAATGCAATTTTTATTTTTCATTTACATTTATATTTTTAAAAGTGTTTTGGTAAAAAAAAATATTATACAGCAACTACTGATTATTTTATTCACGTGTAAACTTGCTGCTGTTAAGCTGAAGGATGTCCGAAAGACTGAATTTCCTTTGTCAGTAACAGAACAATGCATCATCTTTCATTGCCATGTATTTTATGTATAGCTTCCCTGATAAATGTGCAAATATTGCAGCGCTAAAGTGGAGCGAAACAAAGTGAGGTCCGAGTATTTGCATTTTATTTTTTATTGACCTACATATTTATAACTATATATTCATAGTTTTTTTTTTTTACAAATACAATGTATTTTTAAACTTTAATGACTGCCGTGCTTTTGACGTAATATTTGTGGGCACCATCCTCCATAAAGATATTTTATAAATGGCTTTTATATAGTTCCAGTTAAAATTCTTATTCACCTTGATAATAATTTGTCACTTTCAGAGAATGATGGTTGCTTGGTAAGGTAAAGGGCTCTATCCTTGCTGTCTCTGGAAGCAGGTGCAAACTGTTTAAGGTGACCACCATGATGTCTATGGTTTATTCATCAAAACTCTTTTCTGAATGATTTCTATTATGGTGACGTTGGTGAAAATTTAAAGAGTACATGTCTGATGCCCATCTTTAAGGCTGTCATTACAGCATTAGAATCAGCATTACATACAGAGTCATAACTATGCAAGAACTGCCTTTAGGAGCAGCCTCCAGAACTGGATGGGGAATGTGAGATTAATAAATAGCTGTCCTGGCTGCTTGCGTTAAAATGGCATTCACAAAATAAGGAAAAGAGTGATTTTGACAAGTGCACCATGAAGACCACAGACTAAAGTGGAAGGAAATTTCTCTCAAGAACAGTTTAGCTAGAACCAGCTGGGAGTTATCTTAGAGCAGCTTCACATTCAGTAGTGGGACACTGGTAGATCACAGCAGCTAATATGAGTTAATCTGAACCAAAATTAATTTTTTTCCCTTGCATACTGAGCAGCAATGGTACATTTATGACAGCTGCTTACCTGCTGATGTGTTTGCAATTATTTGTATTATAATTTTGATAAGTGCTCATTGTGTCATACTTAAAGCTGGCTTTTGACTTTCAGGCCATGCAATACATGTCTAAATCTCCAGCCACATAGATTGTGTATAGCTATAGTTATGAGAAACCATACATTGCAGCTTCTCCTTCTAGTGAGCATTGCCAGCCCAGACAGGATATGGCTATGAAATAAGTTTTTTCGTAGTAGTATCTTAGTAGCCCTCGGGTTCATTTTCTTAGAAAAGGGTGTGAAATCTGACATCTGGCAGTCTAGTGACCTTTTGAATGGTTGCTGTTTGTATAAACACACATATGCCACCCATGAGATGATTCCTGGGCCTGCTATAGCCACTGACTTGATAAATGTTCAGGTATTCGGTATATGCTGACAGCTTAGTCCAGGGGTAACCAAATTCCGGCCCTCCAGCTGTGGGGAAACTACAAATTTCATGATGTTCGGCGGGTTTGTGGCATATCCGTACGATAACAGCTGTACGGGCCGGTGTGCGCAAGCACACACTGCACGTTCGGCATCGCGGTCATCGGAAGCCCGCCCCTCGGGGCGTGGCTTGCGATCATCGCAAGTACGATCTGCCTATGCAACATAGGCAGATCGTACGTTTTTTTAAGTACCTTACAACCATCGCAAGACACAAGTCGTAAGGTTGTAAGGTGTGTGCCCAGCCTTAGTTCTAGTGCAGGGCGGGGCCCGAAGTGCAGTGTACAGTTTAATGAGACCCATGCTTTGATGATTTGCCATCATTTTAAGACCCATATGGTTGCAGACTTGTGTCCTAAGTGTTTCTTCAAGATGCCTGGGTATATTTAGGCTATCTGGTCCTGGGTTCTCAGTAAAACTCTAGTATGGATTAAGAAGGAGCTCTATTAGTACAAGTTGTGGATTGTAATTCAATCTAATTTTTATTTACCCTGGAAACCCCTTTAGTGACCTAGCACAGAAGGTAACAACTGAAAACAATCCAATAAATAAATATTAGATCTTTCACATGCTTAAATAAATCCTCTTATTGTGAATTCCTTCTTCCATGCCATGTTAAGACTAGGTTTTGGGCACAAGTTCCTTCCTCCCCTTTTGTCACTTGTCTTTATAACAAAAAGAAACTCGTATAATAAATAGCTGTAGGCTTTGCATTCCACTGAGTTTGAGGCACACTGGTTATACCCAAACTTGTCTCTCATTCTGCTAAACTACCACAGGAGTCATAAAGCATCGCAAAGGCTAATCATTAGTGACAAAGTACACAAACCTGTAGCACTTAATCAGATTTTTTTACTTCACTCTAGGCAAACCAGCAGAGGGATGAATTCCAATTGGTTAAGGTTACTACAATTTTCACTCTTGTTCTCGCTCTTGTCTGTTAGCACTGGATGCTTATTTAACTATTTTTTAAAAAAAGTAACAATTGACCCTTTACATCTTTTTTTTTACATTTTGTATTATTAAGTATAGATTTGATTTGAACCTTTGATATTCTGGTATCTTCACGCCTGCGAGATAAACTTTTTTTGTAATCTCCTATTTTTAGCTGTATTTGCTCTTGAAAATATTGTGCAGCAATGACAACTGAGTTCATTTAAAAAGATCCTGAAGCCGTAATAAGGCCACGTGTGCCAGCTGGGCTTGGCCCTGCTCAAGTGCCAACCAGCTGCCTAGACTTTTGTGGTCGGCTCATCCATCCACTTACAAATAGTGAACCTAAATCTATGCCTATGCAGTATTGCCCTCGGCCGTTTCAAGCACTGCATGGCATAGTGAGTGTGCTACAGGTCCACCGGCTACCACTATGGAAGGGTTGGATTTACAGTTAAGTGTTGGGGAGAATGTGGAAGGACCTTTTGTAACAAAAAAAAGCATATCATTTTGGTTCCACTGTATATTAAATGTACGATACACGTAGCACTTGAGAACGCATTTTAGGTAGGTGACAACTGAACCTTTGAAAATTCAAAACATAGCTGAACAAACTGAAAAATGTATTTGTAATGTATATAAAAAGGATCTCGCACCTCAGTTATGCACATTTTATGGATCTTCTCACAACACCACGTTTGAATTATCACTGTTTTTTTATTGATACTTGGTGCTTGGGCTTCATTGGGGGGGGGGGTCTATTTTTAAAACACTCAGAGAGCAAAGATCTTTGCAAACAAGATTTGCAGCACATTATGGCCACTAGAAGGAGCCAGGGAGCATAGGAGCTTCTTGGCTCAATCTAGTGGCCATAATGTGCTGCAAATGTCATTCGCAGAGACGTCCGCTTGACGAACATTTTATAAAAGCACCCCATAGGATTAGGATAGCTGTATGGTCTTTCCACAATATTAATGTTGCTAGCAGGTGGCCTTGAATCTTTAATTTTTAGCTCTAGGTTTCAGTAGAAGTAACTGGGGCAGATGAGAATCCCTCTGGGTTGGAGGGAGGGTCGGAATGTGATGAACAGTTTCATCTTTACAGAAAAAAAATCTTCAGAAGGTTATTATAACAAGTGACTGGGGCTTTAGGAAGAGGCTAAGGATTACACCGGTGCTACACCTTTCACCCACTTAAACAAGACTGATAGTTTTGGCTGGGAGTCTTTAGTTTGCGCCCTTAAATGTTCAGTATTTCCAAAGTGTCCTCAGAGTACGGTTTTCAGAACAATTTCCAGCAGGTAGGGCAGGTTCCTCTTTCATATCTGAAGCAGGCAGTGTTATTGTCATAGATGTGCAACACATTTTCTGTATAAAAAGAATGTACATATTTATCACCACTGATGTCATTTAGTGTTTTCTGCATTTCTTGTGTTAAGTTTATATTTTACATCCATAAACTGCTGTCTTATGTCTTTTTGACATGGGTATTGTAAAGAACTCAAAGATGTACCAAGCTGAGAAAATAAAAAAGCCAAATACTTTTATTAACTGTATGTTTTGCTTTCATTGAAGTGTCTGAATTGTTTATTCACCCCTTCGCTGTACATGGTTTTCTATGCCTGTCTGGTCTGTTAGTGGGGTCAAGGTTATCAGCAATGGT